AACAAACCAATTAAATAGAGAATAACGCCCTTTCCGAAAAATCATTGTAAAGGCATGAAAGTAGTTTTACATACGGACACCAAGGTTTTAATGGTGGGATGACATGAATCCTCAGGGACTGATAAAGGAGATGTGCTAGAGACAACGTCATTACGGTAGTAATTTTAGGATCACAAGTTGCCGAAAAAGATTCGTGAGCGGCACTTCTCTTAACGACCTTTATTTGAAACAGTGAGTTCTCGTTCGGGTGCTGAGAACATGTACCCGAAGGCAACGTGGCGAACATTTTTTAGTCATGGTATGGCGAGCAGCAAAGGCAGTTCAATATTTCACTTGTCTTCGCTGCGACATGTTTTCAAGTAGAACAAGAATGAATTTTTTCTACTAGATCCCAAAGGGTTATGGATCGTGTAGACCATTGAATGAGTGTGAAAATATCAACAACTCTCTATCCTTGTCTTTCGTGGGCAAGCTGGCACTCGATTTTGCTTCTTTATTTTGTGCTTGCCTAGTAACCTAAATAGGTATTGACTGTAAATAGGTATTGCTTAGTGGTAAGAGGTATGTAAGGTAATCTTGTGAAGAGCGAAGCCGCGGAGAACTCCAAAGTGAGAAAAATAAAAACGATAACTACAAAAACAGCACAGGACTTAATATACCTTGAGATAATAATGATTAACCGTCGATATTTCATCCATATCCATAATAACGAAGGTATTCACAGTATATTGGTTTTGTGAAATGTCTTTCATGCTCTCTATGCGTCTGTTCCTCCGTATGAGCGTAACTTCTTTCGACACCCTTAAAGATAGAGCCTTGAAACTTGGAACCTATAATTGTTTGTGCCCTTGTTAGACAAAGTGTTAAGGTTTAGGTACTAAGTCCAACAGAAGTTTGAGAAATTGATAATCGGTAATCGATTAACTATTGAATAATCATTACTATACGTTTTAAATTTGAAAACTGTCGCTCCAAATCTGCGAAATATTTAGGTTTAAGCGGCATGTGCAGGTTAAAGTGGTCGTACAGTTTGCTTTTATTAATTTAATGTTGACTATTAAAACTCGAAAATGTAAATTGCTAGTAATTTATAAAAGTTAAACCAAAAGAAATAAAGATATAACCCATTAATGCCTGAATGTTTTAATGATGCTCCGTAAGCAATCGTCTTACCGAAAATTCAGCATATTTTCGCATCAATAGTGGAATCCTACTAGTCCTAAATCATTTTGTTGTAATACCGTCAGCGGATTTATACCTTAAACCCATTAAAAATGGGTAAAATGGGCATAATGGTTTTGTGCAAATGTATGTAACAGTATGTATGTATTCTTGTTCACGGTCTACAGATGAGTCGATATAGCCATGTCCGTCTGTCCGTCTGTCTGTACGAACACGCGGATCTCAGAGACTATAAGGGCTTCAAATTTAAAATATAGGTTCTCATATACCGGGCGCAGATCAAGTTCGCTTTAATTGATCGATAACTGCCTCCGTTTTTCGATTATCGATACATTTAAATTTCCGATAGCAATAAATGCTACAATTTTAAGGGCAGAATCTTCCAATTACTATATAATATGCATATGCATATTATTGATCAACCGCCCAAATTTCAACGATATCGGATACTGAAGACCCAAGTTCTTGTCGAAAATATATTATCATATTGATCTCATTTACATCTGCAGCCTCAAGCAGCAGCCTCTGTATACATAAATATGCGAAAGCTTGTGTAAGAAAGAGATGACATGATAATCGCCGTGAGCGTCAGTATGTCTGTGTGTATTCTGCAGACCCCCGTTACCCAGTTACGACTGCTTGTACGTATATATGTATGTATTTATGTACACATATGCACGAGTTTGTTGCATGTCAGCTAGAATCAGTTCTTACTCTTCAGTGCCTCAACTTGCTAAAAGAAAAGACTGCACTTGCTGACCTGCTCACATTTGGGTTCAAAACTTTTTATAAGGAAATTTGCCAATAATTCTAGAATATACATAACAGCTCAGTTCGGGGTATATTTACAGCATTCATTCTTGTTTAAACAAGCGTTGCGTTATATCGATTGAAAGTTAAAAATCGGTGACCGTAGGTCGCCGGCTGCTTCGGGTCTTGAAAACAGCGTCCCGAATGCAACGCGCCCCTATTTTAAAAGTGCACAATATACAGTGTCTCGCAGCTTATTTCGGCAGTGTCTAGCAAAAATTTTAAAGTGCTATAAAGTTTAAACAAAGAAACAAACGCAAAATGTTTAAATGTCAATTTGTTTTATGTTATATCACGTTTGAAAAGGAAACTTCAGTTTTCATTAAAATATTAATTAATTAACTAAAATTAGTCAAAAACTGAAAACTTATCCAAAATACAGGTCAAAGCTTATTTCAACAGTCTAGAGAAAAGTAACATATTTGGCGTATAAAAACTTAAATAAGGATGTTAATACTTAGTATGATATCCTTTAGCCTTAATAACTCCCCTTAACCTATTGTTCATGGAAGATACCAGCTTCCGGGTCGTTTCTGGACTAATTTTGCTCCACTCCTCCAGCAGAGCATTCTTGAGATCCTGTTTGCTGGATATGTTTCGATTCCGGATGTTATTTTCCAGCAGAGCCCACAAATTTTCAATGACATTTAAATCTGGAGACTGGGCCGGTGGAATCATCATGTGGGGGCAGTTCCAGATAATCCAGGACTGTACTATTCCGGACTTATGCTTCGGGTCATTGTCCTGGTAGAACCGGAAAGTACGTCGGATTCCTAGCTTCTCGGCACTTTGGAGTAAATTTTCCTTTAATATAGTGAAATACACATTCTTGTCCATTGTTGGTTCAATGAACACCAAATTCCCGACGCCGGTTGCCGAGATACATGCCCATACCATGACACTTCCTCCGCCGTGCTTCACTGTAGCCTTTAGGTGTTTGGGATTCAGCTCAGTGTTGGGCTGTCGCCACACATAATTCCGTCCGTCCGAGCCAAAAATGTTGAATTTGGACTCATCTGCAAATATGACTGTGTTCCAGAAGTCCAAATCCTTGTCCAGGTGGGTTTTGGCGAACGTCATCCTAGTCCCTTTATTTTTTGCGCTTATAAAGGGCTTCTTCCGTGGTACTCGGGCATTAAAGTCATGTTTGCGCAGAACCCGGCGCACAGTTTCCACACTGCACTTTTTCCCCATTTCATCCTCCACCTGTTGAGTCAGTTTTGGAGCCGATAGCTTGGGATTTTCCCTTATTTTCCTGATGATCCTCCGCTCCTCCTGTTCGGTGAAAATCTTGTTTGGTGCATTTCTGCCCTTGTCCTCTATCCGATTTTCGTCGACGAATCGACGAATGATGCTGTATACAGTTGACCTGTTTAAATTGACCATTTCAGCTATTTGGCTATGTGAATATCCGTTCTTGAAGTGATCCAGGATGAGATTCCGTTGTTCAATGGTAGTCCGTTTGCCCATAGTCCTTGTTGACTGATTGCACCCGAGATGCAGGATATAACTAAACTGACTATGAAGGATTGGTCTATTTATACCGAAAATAATCAACATTACGTAAAAAATCCGGGTTTTATGGCACCCAGGTGTCCATAATGTCACTGTTGAAAATAAGCTGTGACCATAATTTCAGGTACTTTTTTACATAACCCGGCCCAGCCGGCGGGAAAACCCCAGTTTATGGGGGTCATATAGTCATTATGGTGGTTAATATATGTACCTGCCATAGGTCTTTGGAATTTTTGAAAAATATTGTATTATTAGTTTATGGCAGGCAATTAAAATTTTTGCTAGACACTGCCGAAATAAGCTGCGAGACACTGTATGTTGCGAGCTGTGGTCATAAAATGGGCCCACAAACTAACAAATTTTAAATCGAGTGGCAGCTCACACACAAAAAGACAAGAATAGAGTGCTGCGCGATCCACTAGCAATATTGCTGATATTTTGGTACACATGTACTAAGTCCGTAGCTGTTCGCACGCATGCACTCACGCTCATAAATGGCTGGGTCTCAATTCTATTAGGGAGCATGTCGCAAGAACGACAGGTAAAATAATGAATTGAGTTCGCTGCTCGGACTCGCTAAGCCTCCAAAATTTGGTCGATTTGACGTCTCTATGTGTTGTCTGCTTAGTGATCTTGCCCCATTAACAGGGGACTGCCACCTGGTTGATCATTAGCATCTCCAACTATCGATAGGCGGGTACCCCACTGCAAAATGTCGTTAGATTTCTTTGATTTCACAAGCCAGCAACACGTAAAATTGCTTTCGACTAGGAGAACCCAGCTGAGTAATACATTAGACTCGAGTCAAATGAAAGAATGTTTTGAATGTTAAAAAAAGAAGCAAAATAACACATGTTTTTATTCACATGACCGACTTGAAATCACTAGCTTCCAACAAATTCGTATCTAAAATTTGTTTTCCATATACACGCTGACTGTGCATCTTACTTTATGCAGATGGAGATATTTACTTTTGTGTGTAATGTACTTTTAAACAACTCCATTATACCTTTTTTTTACCAACTTTTAATTGTACAGGGTATAAAAATACAGAGAGTTTGTTAACATTTCGTTAAGGGGTTGTTATGTTTTAAGATTGGCGACAAACATTTTAAATGAATTTAACTTTCAAATAAAATGAGATACGAACCATACTTAATTCTCATAAAAAGTGAAAAAAAAATCAAAATCAGGAAATGTCCGTTTCCGGAATTGTATGTCCAATATTATCCAGATATAATTCGTAGATGTCTGGTGACTATACTTATAAACTGTTTTTTTTTTTTCAATAAATTCCAATTTTCACGCTGCAAACATAAAGACGAAAATCGCTGCTTTTAGGTGTCTGCTTTATATCTGTATATATTAAGTGTTTCTAGACGCTGGAATCCTGGTTGATGTGATTCATTCTTACACCTCTACACAATTAGCAGATTCAATATAACAGTAAAAGACAAAAGGTTATTTTTTCTTTTATTTTATTATCTTTGCAGTTCTGATTGTCGTCATGTGAAGAATACAATACACGTTAAACATGCACTTGGAAAACTTTTAACGAACGTAACTACGAATAACAACCAGCACAATCAAAAAGTTATAAAATCATTCAGCAGCAACTCTATTTTGGAAACTATGTGCCAGTATCAGGAAAAAGAGTAACTGTTCGGACGCCTCTTACTAACAGCTTATAGACAGGAATCAACAAGATCACAAAATGCAAAAGGAGAACAATGTAATGGCAGAAAACTGCCAATTTGTGGGTCCATATCGTTTGGAGAAGACACTTGGCAAGGGTCAAACAGGTAACCAAATACCAATAATTAAAATAATATTCTGCATTTTTTTACATAGCATTTTAATAAAAAGCTTTAACTTTTTCGGACAGGCCTCGTCAAGTTGGGCGTGCACTGTGTGATTGGAAAAAAAGTTGCCATTAAAATAATCAATCGCGAAAAACTCAGCGAATCTGTGCTAATGAAGGTAAGCAATCAGAACCAGACCTTAACGATCAGTTTTACCTATTATTATGCCTACGATTTATACTACGTGCCAAAGAACAAACAATTATATTTATTCTGTCTATACAAATCAATTTTTATAATCTTAAAGATGACATGCGATAGAGGTTGTGCACTTTTTGAAAGCATTACGCTTATGTATGTTCTGTTTGTTACACAATATCAAGGTTAAAATGCCAAAAGTTAAATTTTCGTCTGCTTTAAATTCGCTCATTCTATCTATAAATTTAACACTAATTAGTAAGTAATAGTTACATTCGTCCTTAAAAATGTTATTTATTCGCTTCCAAAGAACTCATCGGACAAGCGCTTCATGGTTGCAATGTAATCTTGCGGCTACATCATTATGTCAAATTAAACAATCTTCGAAGCGGCATTTTCATTTAATATAAAATAAACGAGATTTGTAAAGCAAAAACTGGTTCCTAAGTTATGTTAAATTGTTGCACAAAATCAGAATACTTTGTAAATTGGATATTCATATTCACACTTTCACATAATACACTAAAGTCAATTCAGTCGAGTTGCTCTCGTTGCTGCTTATAAATAATGAATAATATAACGGTTTCACAATAACAGATATCAAAAAGCTGATTGGATATAGATTCTCATAAAAAGAACAATTGAATACGTTTTTTCAAATATTAGAAATTCATTTGAATATAAAGTATATATACTTTTGATCAACATCAACCGCCTAACATGTCTTATTTTTCATCTTTTTTATCCCTGTGGAACTCTCTGATTCTTATTAAATTTGCGATATTAACATATATCCGGGAAGTATCTGAAAGTGCTTAAATAAGTGTTTAAGTATGAACATTTGACGCTCTAAGAAGCAGATAGCGGACTCATTCGACATTCTCAAGCGTAGGGACTTGAGGCTGACCTGCATGGGGTCACGCTATTTTTGGAGATAGCACAGGAGATACACTGCCTTCGCCTTACAAGCGACTGCATTAGATAAGAAAATATGTATTTAGGTTTAAGAATTTTGAATCAAATAAAGGGCTGTTCGAAACTAAACATCGTCTCAACGTGTCGACGGCTATACTATACGTGTCGCGCTCATAAGTCACTTTTATTTTCTCGTCCTTTCTTTCTGTCTGCCCAAAACGTTTAAAATTACTAACCCTTACGAATTTTTAATTTAGTTGAATTTTTCAGGGTGTTGCTAATTCTGTCAAACAATTTTTGACCATTTCAAATATTTTATAATTTTTATTTTTTTTTTTTAATTTTTATAAATATGGATATAAATTTGTCAGTTTCGGAATCAGGGTTGACAAAAATTCTATGAAAAATGCGGGAGAAGAATTGTAAATTTAACATCGGTGATAATTGCATATAAACCATTATCTAATTGGACAATTTGTGAAGCGATCATGGAATATATTTGCAAAATATTAATTTATTCAAGGTTGAACGTGAAATTGCCATCATGAAACTAATCGATCACCCGCACGTACTTGGCTTGAGCGACGTGTATGAGAATAAGAAATATTTATATCTAATATTGGAGCACGTATCTGGAGGTGAACTTTTCGATTATCTCGTTAAAAAAGGACGACTTACCCCAAAGGAAGCACGCAAGTTTTTTAGGCAAATAATCTCCGCACTGGATTTCTGCCATTCACACTCAATATGGTAAGCAATCCGTTATCAGAATAATAAATCCAAATTTTATTTCTGAACTAAATTTATAGCCATCGAGACTTAAAGCCAGAGAATCTGCTTCTAGATGAAAAGAATAATATTAAGATCGCAGACTTCGGCATGGCCTCACTTCAACCAGCTGGTAGCATGCTGGAGACTTCTTGTGGATCACCACATTACGCCTGTCCCGAAGTAATACGTGTAAGTGTAGAAAAAGCGAATAAAAAGGCAGACAATAAGTTGATGTGATTATCAAACCCCAATTTAGATCTTGAATACAATTTTAATTCTGTGGAACCTTATGGAACAACAAAATATTAATTTTTACATACATTTAGATTCGTATGCTAGGCAATCACATATATTTGCAGAAAATTAACTAGTAGCTATACAAATTAATTTCTGATGTACATTATTCCCGATTCTATTTCTTCCACAAGGGTGAGAAATATGATGGACGCAAGGCAGATGTATGGTCATGTGGAGTCATACTGTACGCTCTGCTAGTAGGTGCGTTACCCTTCGACGATGACAACTTGCGACAGCTCCTAGAGAAAGTTAAGCGCGGGGTTTTTCATATTCCGCATTTTGTGCCTCCCGATTGCCAGAGTCTTTTGCGTGGTATGATCGAAGTTAATCCAGATAGGCGTTTAACGGTAAGTCACCAGAATAAGCAAAATAATGTATTAAAAAAATGCAATTAAATGCGCCACATCACAGTAATTTTGAGGCGGTCTTGGAAGCAGTCAGCCTTTGTTAAAGTTAATATCTCATAAACCCACTTAACAAATCAAAACAAATTTGAACGAAAATAATGGATTTTGCAAGAAAATAAACTAATTTAAAATAGGTAATCGATTCTCATCGATATTGACCGGCTTATTATATACTAAAACCTTTATTCCAAATTTGAAGTCGGAAAAGCGACATCTATAAAAAAGGATACACTGAGAGATAGTCAAAGCTTGATCCAATAAGCTGTTGACACTGATCAGGAATATACTTCATAATATAAAAAAATTGAATTATTTTATTAATTCTTATTTAACTTAAGATGTGTTTTGTATAGTGCTTAAGAAAAAAATGTATAATCTGTCACTGCTCTCTTTTACGAATGCGGAAAACTTTCCGCTTCCATTTTCGAAGCTCCGATTTGCGAAAATGTCTAATGCATCCATTTTGAAAATATATGATGTAGAGCTCTAATTATTTTAGAAGAATGTAACTTATAATTACAGCTTAAATAAATATTATATAAGACGACGCGAATTTAACTTTTTTTTTACATTTTTGTCCTTTGTCTTGCAATTTTCATTTATTGCAGTGCGGTAAAAAGGTCTGCCGTAGTTGATAAATATTTATGAAGCTCGCTTGAACGCATGTGTTTTTTGAATACGCTGACAGACAAATTCACAGTGCAAATTCGAACTATTTGATGTAAACAGCCAAACAAATTTCGCAATCTGCAAATTTTAAAATATTACATTTAGCATATTTATGCACAATATTTTTTTATGTCAAAAAATGAACATTTAACAGATCTGATTTGCAGTAAGAGACTAAGAGAGTATGCAAGATCTTTAAGGCTCACTATGCTAGTTTCGACACTTAGACCACTCATTATGTCAGTGATTGCATATGTGAATATGTAGTTAAAAGTGCATTCTTCTTGAAGCCATTGAGACTGAACTTCTGCTTGAGTGATTTCTCGATAACTATAGTTATCCTATGGAGCGCCTATGTCGCAGTGCATCTTGGGATTCAGAAATTATATATTCCTGAGATAACGATCTAAAAGTCAATACATCATCTTTTTAAGAAAAGACATGGATTGAAAATCTGTTGGTATGCTGTGTAGCTGCCCATTTGGCGAGTGATCTGATAATCTTTATAGTTTTCTAATGGGTGGTGAATATGTGATTATGCATTAGCTCTCTGAACGAAAATAATAGGTTTCACATTTTTTGTGGACCTTAACACAGTGTTGTATCTACCAGTTTATCTCGCCCTAATGCTTTTGAAATTTTCAGCTAGCCGAAATAAATCGTCATGCGTGGGTCACAGCTGGTGGTAAAGGTGAGCTGGAGTTGGAGCTTCCCATGATGGAGGTAGTACAAACACATGTCATACCCACTGCCACTGCTGTGGATCCTGATGTGCTGAATGCCATATGTTCCCTGGGATGCTTCAAGGAGAAAGATAAACTCTTGCAGGAGTTACTCAGTGCTAGGTGAACAATCAGTAAGCTTTAACTTACAAAACACTAATGAAATCCGACCTACAGTCACAATACCGAAAAAGTCATTTACTTTCTTCTTCTGGAGCGCAAACGTCGTCGGCCGGCACTAGAGGATGATGAAGAGTTTGCACAGAAATCACGCAGCGAACTGGAAGCAGTAGATCCACCACGTAAGCGGTTGGACAAGTGTCGTATCAATGGCACTAATGCGCCTAGTTATGGACAAATTTCGGAGGGCTCGCCATTGACGCCGCGACGTCAAGCATTTAAGTAAGATCTTCTTATTCTTATAAGTTCCAGTCAATAACTTTGCTTATAACCCTCCAATAGTTTCCGATCGTACAGCAGCACACGGAATCATCAACGACGCTCACCCACGACGGTATCTACATCGGTGCGAAGCTCTTCATATCACAGTCCAACCCGTTGCAATACACCCATAAACTCAACGCAACAGCAAGCCAATGCAATGTCGCGGCCATCATCACCATCAGTGGCCTCACGCCATTCAACATACGGGGATCGAGAGCGTTCTGGTTCGGTGCATCATCCGTCGGTCAGTCGGACACCCTCGCACAGCTCACAAAAAAGCATTGAGAACGATGTAGTGGCCATTAGGGAGACGCGCATGGAGCGTCGTGATTCAGCGCGTCAAGCGCAGGAGCACAGTGGCGGTGGGCCAACTCGAGAATATGGAGATTGCGTACCTAACAGTCTAGGTCGAGAATCGGGAGGCAACTCCGCAGCGGCTTCACCTTCGGTGCATCATCGCGCCAGCTCAGGTCCGACAATAGCCATTAGTATGTTCCACGATACAGACTCGAATAGTGGTGTGTGCATGCTCTATTAACCCTTTGTGGTATCCATTCATTTCAAAGCAAGGAATCAATAATTTGCCAATTTATTTTTTTTTTGTCTCTTGCCTTTGCAGTTGTGAATCCTAATGTATCGCCTATGCTTAATAATAGCAATCCAGGCATACCTGGCTCACCCTGCAATACGCCTGGCGGTCAGCTTTGGAAAACACGACTTACCAACATTAAGAACAGCTTTCTTGGCAGTCCGCGTTTTCATCGCAGGAAAATGCAGGGTATGTAATGGATATCCTTCAATAAAAACAATTGATACTTACAGATCACCAACATTTCAGTCTCTGCTGATGAGGTTCATTTAACGCCCGAGTCATCGCCAGAGCTGACTAAACGCTCCTGGTTTGGCAACCTAATAACTACTGAAAAAGATGAGACATTTACCATATTGGTCAAGGGCAAACCCATTGCAACAGTCAAGGCGCATTTGATTCATGCCTTTCTATCGGTAAGTACGTAAGCATGATGCCGATCATCACAATAGGGTCGCAAAGTGTGATTTTGTTCAAGCTCAATGTAAATATATAGATAGCTAAAAATTTTGATTTTTAAAAAGGCATGATACTCTTTGTATAGGGTATAATCAAGCTATATGTACTTCTTTGATTTGGGAAATTGCAAAACGTATTCAACAATAAACAACAATCAGTTAAACGATATATGTTAAAAAATTCAAGATATTATATTTATAATAATGTATTAATAAAATGTATTAATACATATATATATAATTACAGATGGCCGAATTATCACATAGTGTGGTATCGCCCACCTCGTTCCGCGTTGAGTACAAACGTAATGGCAATGGACCTGTTATGTTTCAACGTCATGTCAAATTCCAGGTGCGTAGCAAGGCTCACGGTAATCAAACACGCTTAAAACAAAATTCCTTTTTTTAGGTGGACATAAGTTCTATATGCAAGCAAGGTGATATTGCGGATATGCTATTTGCTCTAACTTTTACATTACTGTCAGGTGAGTTTCTCCATAACACTTATTTTATCTTCATATATATCTATATATATATATATATATGTATATATATATATATATATATAATTATTTATTTATATAAGCGTATTTTATTTCTAACGTAGGCAATATTCGCCGTTTTCGACGCATCTGCGAACATATACAGTCCCAAGTCTGTTCAAAACGATATCCGGGTCCGAATAGTCCACCTATAGTAGCTTCAGTCACTCAGGCTGTGTCAGAGAGCTCCTCGTGTGGCTCAGTGTCGAGTGAACGCTTGTCTTATAAACGACAGGTGGTAAGTAATCATATTTTTATCGCAGCAAATATTAAGCTATGGTCTGTCAATTGCAGATTGAAAATGATTTGGAAAATGATTCCATATTCTGCTACAAATCTGGAAATGGACGTCGCTCATCAGCAACAAATAACAACAATCCTAATCCTGTGGATATACCTGACAGTCCCGTTGCAGTCCGTTCAAAGTATGTCACATTAGTCTATTTGAACTATCGTTTTAATAATTTTTATTCCGATTGATACTACAGTTCCGAGACAGCTGAGCATGACCGCAATCGAGAGCAGCAGAACGAGCGACAGGCGACAACGATGTCTGGTAGTGCAATAGCATGAGAATTATTTCTCTGATTTAGTTACATTTTTCTCAAAACCTATTTGTTTTAACCTACTACGAAATGCAACCAAATATATTTATTAACTAAATCCATTTCAATGAACAACCGATAGACGGAAATAATTTAATCATTTTCTATAAATGAACTACATTTTGTAAAAAAAAAAAAATAAAATAACAAGAACTAATAGATATCTGTGGCACGCCGAAGATTACATTCCCTTCTAGACTTGAGTCCATATACTCAGAAAAAGCTACTTTTCAAAGATATTTTAACAAGAGAAACGTATATCGTTTCAACTGAATGTTCCTGCCGTTCCGATAGTTTCTGCGGCCCTAAGATAAATAAGCCAGATGCGGCCGTCTCAGATATACATTTGTACTGACCACAGTAAATATAGATTAAAACAAAAAGAAACTACTCTATACGGAATAAGACAGATAATTCTTTATAGACTCAGTTTCTCATTCTGATAAAGAATATATATATTTTAACATCATCTTGAGACAAAATTATAATAGCCTCTGCAAAAGTAAAAGCTTGCTTAAATATCATACGCTGCTGCCCGAAAAGAAATCACGAATGCTAAATACATGATTATATTTCTTATTTATTTATAATTATTATTTTTTAAATTTGTTTTAAGCCAGTAAAAATACATGTTTTTTATTTATGAGGACATTGTTGTCGCCGTACCTACGAAGCTTACAAATACAGTTAATTACCAGGAACGAAAATTATACCAAAAGCTTTTGAATACGCCCTAGTTTAAGTCACAATGTTAATATAGACATTTTTCATAATATAGTCTAGGATTTATATTAACTAAGACATTAGATATGCAAATTTAATAATACTTATTTAAAGAAAATGCCTGAAATTTTTATATTGTGTAAAAAATATGATGCAAAAATGCTCTGAACTTTGATTTAACGTATTAAAATTGTGCTTAAGTTTCGTGCTGCTATTGTATACAAATTGTGTCAAGCGCATTAAACGTAAAACATACATTTTTTCAGAAGAACTGGAAACACGGACGTTACCGATCTAACAATATTATTTTTACTATGTAACATCAGATGTAAGCAGACAATGGCAGCCTCGGATAGCTGAGTACGCTCTTGTAGGCAGATAAGAGAGTCCTACTGATTATAAAGTTAAAGAACCTATAGCTGGGACCCTAAGTCTGTGACTTTAAGTCTGTAAAAAATGTCGGCTTTTGCGATGTTCAGAAATGTTTGACGTGGGGTGCGTTTTACTTGAGTTTGACAACTAATTCAAGTATCTCTTGTTATCTAACTGCAAGAGGCAATGATTTTTTTAAGAAGTTGCAATTAATGAAAGAAATATCGATTTTGGAGGAGTCCCGCCTACTTCTCCTTCTACCAACCACTGTGGGGTTCTCTGCAAAAATTAATGTTCATAAGTAAATGTATGAATTGATATTTATATATATATTTGCTGTTTGGAAATTTAAGCCTCAATAAAATTGAAAAAAAATATTGCGGGGTAGGAAAGATTGCCCGATGGACGGTCCACTACCACCGTATACTCAGATTTCGTTAAAGAAGCAAGAAACAAGATAAAACAGTTATTATATAATTATATATTGTATACATATATATAAATATTATGCATTATTTATGTAAAAAAAAGCTGTAGTATAATCCAAGTCGGCCGATTGGTAACCAACATGTTTAAAATTGTATGTACATATCTGTAATATAACTAAATGTTTGACTTAATATTCCCATGTCAGGTTTATGAAGTCTGATATGTGCGTTTAAGACTTGTGTATAATCTACAGCATGAAAAAGCATTTGATAGTTGCAATGTATTTTCAAAAAATATTGCTTAACTTTTGTCTAGCTAACACAGAGAGTTTAGTTCTCTCTCTGACTTTGAGTTTCTCACATATGAATAACTTAATGTCTAATTAAAGCAAAGAAGAACCAAAATGTTGACTATTAAAATACAAAGCAACTAAAATACACACAGAGCCAAAATATAGACGAGTTTTCAAATTATTTGACACTAAAAATATATATTTATACAGTCTTGATAAATCTTGGAATTACAAATCTTGTGTAGCTATAAAAATCAAAATGTCATGCCACATAAAAATGCCATAAAGTTGCCATGCCACAAAGATTCTCATACTTCAATTGGCGTTTCTAAAAAATTTTTTGTTGTAAATATTTTCAAATTAGCAAATATAAGACTTGAATATGAACATTAAGCAAATCCAAACTAGACCGTCCATTTTTCCTGGTGAACATATGTAGGCAACTCACCAAATTAAACAATTTGCGCAAGAGGAAGATAACAGCTAAAACTCAGTATAAAGCAATATAATATATAAAGCAATTGTAAGACAGCAATAATAATAAAACTGCCGACTGCGCAATACAACACAGATGGGAAAGCGCGACTTTGTTTAATGTTTAATATTGTCTTTTCTTCTGCATCTCTCAAGAAGTTATCCGTAACGATAACATTTTTTATATAAAAGATAGTAATAATTGCGATTTGTGTGAATGCGTCTAAATGCAGCCATGTCTTTTTATCCTTTGGGAACAAGGTAAACCAGTTTTACATTTAGACGTAACAGTCTGTGTAGTACTAATTTTTAATCAGCTGAAAACTAGTGCAAAATAGCCTTTCGGCAGGGATGAGGGAAGTTATCTATAAAATTTATTACGCTAGCTTCAAAAGTATGGAAGATATATATGTTTGAGTTTAGTGTGCTCGTGGCCAGGATATTTATCTACGATTATTCAGATCCCTTTGCTCCCTTAACACTTCGTCTGGCGGAGATATGAGCAAGTATATATTTCAAGCTTAAAGTTTCTATGCGGAGACCATGTGGAATATTGCAAGAAACCAATATAGAGTATATTAAACACTTTACAAAAATTAACGCTACAAAAGTTAAAGAAAATTTTAATAATAAAATAAATAATAAAGCAAAAACATTAGTTATGTATAATATTATAAATAAGAAAAAAAAGAAAGAATGTTTATCTTACGCATACCGAAGATTAAATACCCTTGTAGAGCGGATTTAATCTGACATCTGTATTACTGCTTGGAGTTTCTTTCTTGAAAGAGAGACGCGTCCTTTAAAGCTCAACTTTCGATTTGTACTATGGCAGCTATGTGATTTAATGGTCCGATTTGATCATCTCCGACCTTCCTCCTCCGGCCTTCAGCAAAAAGACGGATTTATACCAAGTTTAATCAAGATTGCTTTTAAGCTTCTGCTCATGTTACAATATGACATCTCAAAATTGACAACAAAATTAAAATACCCTCTACAAGGATATAACTAGACAACATTAATTAAATAGTTGATAAAATACTTTAAGGCGACAAACAACTCGTGCTACATTGTGAAAATAAAATTAACTTTTACCATAAGCTATAATAATATTAGGAATAACATATTTATTTATTGCTTTTAAGCCGGCTCAGAGCAGCGGCTTTCAAAAGTAAATAGCACTTTCCTTTCCAAAAATGTAAATAGACAGTAAGTGTGTTACAAATGCACAATGCAAATGTAAATAAATATTGAAAATGTTTGTTTCTTGGCAGCTCATTAGTTTTGAGTCCGACATGAATCAATTTCTGACTCCATTTAGCCTCGAAGCAAGAGAAAAAATTAATAAAAGATAAATTTTATTATTCAACCCCAACAACAACAAGTGAGAACGGTGCAGTCAAACGTAACCGACTTCGAAATGTTCTGAAAACAATAAGCAATAAGCTTTCGAGAATATTGAGGGTGGAAGTGGGTGTGGTTCTTAGTAATATACCTTCCATGTTTGGTAATTGCAGAGAAATATAGGCTTTCACGGTTTTTAAGACGGGAGTGTGCGTAGTCTATAAATTATTTTTCGCCTTCGGAATGGTGTTACTACCAATATATCTTTATAATTTAGTGACTCAAAAAAGGCTTTCCACTAGTTGTGGAAGATAGGTATCATATATCATGAGTTTCTTCATACAACCATTGAGTTTTTTAGACTTAAAATTTATCAACTTTCAATTAGTGAGCTTTGAGTAAAAACGTTTAACATGTTCAACATATTCTTGCCACTGGGAATACGAACAGTACGAGAATTTTAATCTTGTCGATCCCCTGTTTTCAACGGATACTATGAACTATGCACCCTACCCCGAATACTTAGATAAAATATAGCTCACTCCGCTCCAACATTAATTTTTTAATGTATTCCCCAGCTCTTTGAATGAATATAATCGTTATGCAGAGACACAATAAACTAGTGTGGATTATGAGCGTTAAGGATCAAATCAAGGGGCTTCCCAAATTTTTCAAAAAGAGTGAAATCAGGCATCGTATATATGTATGTACATACATTACAATATGAACAGTTGATCTAAAGTATATTTATAAAGAATCAGAAAACAAAGTGACTCATTAAGATAGAGAATATTGAAATCGATTTATCGGAAATAGAGTGATATAGGTTGATTTTTTCTTGTAACTTATAGAGTCTCTAATATCATCGTGATCATGCAGATAGACAGGCGTACAAATGTATGTATCTGAATCGACGAAATTGATGCTGCATCATTTCGCGCCTTTCTAATTTTGTAATAATAACAATTTATTAACTAAAAAATAAACAAAGAAGTTTTTAAGCATTTTGCTTAGCCCCTTTCCAATTTGTTTATTGTAGACTCGTAATTTTACCCTGAAATGGAACTTAGCCCTACCCTCTCCATCACGCCGCCGCCTCCCTCTCCATACTAAACCATGTTTTTCCCATCTGTTTTCAGCTGGTATCAAAGTACTAGCACGTTCTTAGCAGTCGGTAATGTCCACCTGCAACTGTCTTGATAAATAAAATCTCTTTCTCTCTCTCTCTCTGAGACAAAAATAAAAGTTTTAGTTTGCAAAATGCAAAGAACAATCGTTTGTCAATAATTCTTAAAAACTAACAGAAAATTTGCAGAAAACACAGAGGGAAATGGCTGCAATGGATGCGTTACACATTTCTCCATAAATTATACGATCCTGTGCAAGGTTTTAAGTGCTTCAGAAACTATAATAACGTCCCGCCAACGATTTACCTTCTCGAAGTAAAACAAATTTAAAAGTGTAGAAACCTAATATCCTTGCAGGTATGCATATAAATTTATTAAATTGCCTGTTTTCCTGATGCAATATTATTTATATAAATATGTATATATATATATATATATATTAATATATATTATAATCAGCCCCAATGTACAAAAACATACAAATATTTAAAATAAAAATTTATTTCTTGAAAAAAAAAGTCGCAAACCCACCAAACTTATTTTTATCGAAGTTTTCGGCAGAAATAATTTTGTTGGCATCGTATGTATATGAATATATAGACATATATATTATTTTAGCAAACTCTTATCTCCTCTGCTTATATTAATACTATAAGCTATAAAACAAGGAATTTATAAAACCATAAACTTGGACAGTAATAATGTGTATTCTACTTAGGTTGGTTCATATGATGTTGTTTTTATATTTAGATAGTTTTAAATGATCATTTGATCATTTTTTATGCTAGTTATGCAAGCTTTGTTTTATATTTAAGTAAGTAAATCCTAATTGTCATTTATTTTAAGCTTAACATATCGTGTCGAAAGTGACTGGTGAGAAAGTTACAACAATAAATTAATAAAAAAAAACTAATATAATAATAAGCCAACTTTAAAAGGAAACTCAACAAGTAGGTTATATAAATTAAATATATATTTTGCAACAAAATGTGTCAAGTATATATAAATAATAAAGTCCAGCTTAAAACATTACAAAGAAGGAACATCAAGCGAACAAAAATTATAATTGCAATTCCAAAATAAAATTATAAATATTTAATATAATTAAGTTTGGTA